CCAAAGCCCGCGACCCGCCTGGATGCATTACTCACCCTCAGCCGTTGCCATCATCCGGAATGGGCCAGGGGTCACCGCCGCTCTGGGAAGAGAAGCCGAGATCTGGAAAAGAGCGGTCAGGGAGAATCACTGGGCGAGGAAGGTTGGCCCGGTCCAGACACGCCCCTGGGCGGGGCACAGTAGTCCCCGGCTACTGCCACTGAGCCCCGAGGGTCCCCACGGACTCAGAGGCACTCCCACTCCGGGACGGAACGCTTTACCCCAGGCTTCCCGCCGCGCAGGCGCAGAGGCGAGACCCCGCCCCGCGCGGGCGCAGTTCCAAGAGAGAAAAGTGGCGCGCACTGGCTGCCCCTCCCCACCTCGCGGCGCTCGCAGACCAGCCCCCTCTCCGCCGCGAAAGCGGGTCGTAGGTTGGAGCGTACCAAGTCGTGACGGCCGGGGGAAAGCATGAGGAAAGGGGCGTGTAAACTTTATATCTCTTGAGACAGAAATGACGTCCCCTCCGTTATTCTCTTCATCCCAGTCTAGGGTGCTGGAAAATAACGGAGATTTCCACGTGGAGGCACATTAGCTTTTACGACGTCTCCGCGGGAAGATTAGCTCCACCCCACGGGCTGCGTGACTCCTCCCCTCAGTCGTGGAGCCCCTCCCTTTGCTCGCTCTCATTGGTGGAATTGGGAGGGCGTGGCAAGGCGGCCAAGGACGACCTAGTCACGCCCACCTAGGCGAAGCACGCGCCGCCGCAGTAGCAAGGCTTGATCCGCGGGGAAGGAAGCTGCTGTATAGAGTGCGAGCTTCGGGGGCATACGGGCCGAACCCACAGCGGGTTGGTGCTTGGACCTCGGCCGCGGCGGCAGGTCCCTCCACGTGCTTTTGGCTGCAACATGGAGCTGGAGGAGTTGGGGATCCGAGAAGAATGTGGCGTGTTCGGGTGCATTGCCTCCGGAGAGTGGCCCACGCAGCTAGATGTGCCGCATGTGATCACTCTGGGACTCGTGGGGCTGCAGCACCGGTGAGCAACAGGGTGAGGAGTGGGGGTGGCGGGGCGTGCTTCTGTGTCTTCCCTAGCCATTTCCCACGGCCAGAGTTAGCGATCCCCTGAGCTCCCTAGGGAGAACGGACTCTTACCTGCCTAAGGATGGCATCGACCAGGTTGCCAAGACGTGCGCGTGCGACACCTAGATATTAGCTTGTCCTGCTCATCCTCCCAGCCCCTGTGCTCATTAGATGCGCTCTTCCTCTCCCTCTCCAGGTCCGTTCACCCCTCCTAAAACTGGCCAGTTGGTAAGGCTTGAGTTTACTTGGATTAGCCCTTAGGCGGCTCCTGCTCGGCTGCACACTCGTTCTACTCTGCCTGATCCTCTAGTGATAGGCTTGTGCGGCGGTAGCGGCTGGTTGAGGTCCTGCGACACCTTACGGGTTTCGCGCGGGGCCCCCAGCCACCACAACCTTTGTCTGCGAAGCAGAGCTATTGAGCAGATGTGGATTTGGAAGAGTTCTATCAATAGTTAAGGAGCCTGGAGGATCTTAGAGTTCAGACCCGAGCAAACAAGGACTAGTTGGTGTACAAAAGGAACTACTGGTAGTACATCTCATATAAGCGGAAAATGAGCTAGTCACAGAGACTAGTGCATCCGGAAAAGAATGATTTGCAAACGTATTAGACAATGAACGAAAATGTTGGTAGTTACATGTCAAAACTTAATCCCCTTCTTTCAAAGGGAGAGTGGGAAAGTAGTTTCTGTATGTCAGGATTCGTATTGATTTTCAAAAACTGGTTTGCTTCTAGTTAAAAAAAATAATAGCCTTGCTTCCATGCTCTTTCCATTTCCTACTGCCTGACCTAACTGAAAGCTGACATAAATAATTCCTTTTGGGTAAAAAGTAGGTTGGACATTATCGCTGCAAGTAGTACAAAGTTTCTGTAAGGCAGTGAAGTCACGACAAGTTCTAGAACAGTTAAGGATCTTGGCCATAGCACTTATCAGCAAGATGAGTGCAGTATGTATAAATGCATGCACGAGATTAGCTTGCTTTCACCAAACTCAAGTGGTTATTTTGCTCTTTCCAGAGTCCCAAATACTTTCACATTTTGTATGCTCCTTGTTTACTGAAGAGCTCAGAGTAACTCAGAATCTAGGATGAATCAAAAAGAGTGTTTTTAACTTAAATAACTCCAACTTTGCATAACTGTGGGGTGATTATAACAGATTAGTTTTAATAAACATTTGAGAAGATTTAGATAAATAATCTAAGGAGAAATTAAAATCTGATTATGTGGTGGTTCTGAGAAACAGTTCATAGAATTCATAAGAGAAGTTATTTTGGACGTGGGAGGGGGTGCAGAATCCAGGAGTTTTTAGAAATTCATGAATTGGCCTTGACTTGTTTATCTTAAATATATATATAAATTTTCTCTCTTTTTTAAAGAATTATTTAATTTTATTTATTCATTCATTTTTAATAGGACAAGAGAGAGAGAAGGAAATTGAGAAAGCAAGCCACCAGGTTCAAGACTCGAGCCATGGTTGGCCACATGAGAGTTTCCAACGCCTTAACCACCATGCCACCTCCTGGTCCCTATTTTTTCTCTCTTAACTATATGTAGTAAAAAGAGAGGAGAAGTGAGAAATCACCCCCCAGGGGGATGGCCATACTTTTTCTGCACCCCTTTGGATTTGGGCCACACATGCACATGTGCCTGGAGTGATCTTCAAGCCACCAGGTCTGAGACTTGAACCACAGTCAGTCATGTGGGAGTCTAGTGCCTTAACTGTCATGTGACCTACTGAACAGTCCATAACCATATTTTAAGCCAAAGTCACTCCATTTCTTTCATCCCATCTCTTCTCTGCTTTATACATGTGCCTGAAGAAAAGAGGGCTATTTTTGGACCTGGCAGGCACGTGGTGGCTAAGGGCATTGGACTCCCACATGGCCAACCACTGTTCAAGTCTTGGGCCTGGCGGCTTGCTTTCTCACTTTCCCGCTCTCTCTGTCTTGCTCTGTCCCTCTCTGGTCAAATATAAGTAAAGTGAAATTTTTTTTTTTTTTTTTTTTTTTACAACTTAGATGTTGGCACTAATTGAAATTCTAATACTCAGGTTAGGAAAATGCTTGATACATAGGTTATGGACTTTTTGTTTATTTTAGTAAATATAACTTGATTCCTGGTTACATATTCCTGCAGTTGCTTTTCAATTTTGAATAATTGTGAAGTTAGATGATACAAGGTTGGGTGATAAAGGTGTCACTCATATGTGGTAGTTAAGCAGTATTAATAGATTCATGCTTATTTGAGGCTTTGTTAGGAGACTGGTGTTGAAAATTGACCTTGGGGGGGGACCAGCAGATGGTGTAATGGTTCCGTCGCTGGACTCCTATGTAGTCAACCATGATTCTGGTCTCAAAACCGGTAGCTTAAAACTCATGCCAGCCACATGGGTGCCCAAGATTCCAAGAGGAGAATGGAGGAGAAGGGTTTGCAGTGTGGCTATCCCCCCGGAGGGTGATTTCTTGCTTTCTTTCTCTGTCTCTCTGGTGAGTGCACGCACCCTATAGCAAAAATCTCTCTTAAAAACAAAACAAAACTGATTAAGGCACTTTAAGGCACTTGACCCTCACTGACCGTGGTTCAAGTCCAGATCTGGTGGCTTGCTTTCTCACTTCCCTTCGCCCCTGTCTCTCTCTGGTGAGCACATGTGCCCTATAGCAAAATTTAAAATTTATAATAAATAAAATGAAACCTTTTTTTTTAATTGTTAGAGAGAGATTTTTTGCTGTAGGATGCATGCAAAAAAATCAAGGAAGAGTCGCCCCCCGGCTGGGGAGACCCCTCTGCAATCCCTTCTCCTCCATTCTCTTCTTGAGATTTTAGGCACATACACACGTACCTGGTGTGAGTTTTAAGCTGTGGGGTCTGGGACTTGAACCGTGGTTGACCATGTGGGAGTCCAATGAGGTAACCATTATACCATCTGCTGGTCTCCAAATAAATAATTCTTAAAAAAAAAAAAAAAAAAAGGTGGGGGGAATTGACCTTGTGGTTTACAGATTATTCTTTCCTTTCCTTTTATTTTATTTTATTTTTGGGGGGAGAGGTTTTAGCTGTAGGGGTGCATGTGCTCACCAGAAAGAAAGAGAGAGAGAGACAGAGCGAGAAATCACCCCCCTGGGGGATGGCCATGCCGCATTCCCTTCTCCGCGATTCTCCTCTTGAGCTCTTGGGCACACATACACACCTGCCCGACGTGAGTTTAAGCCACTGGTCCAGGATTCACACCACGATCGACTACATGGGAGTCCAGCGACATAGCCATCACGCCAACTGCTAGTTCCTTACAGCTTATTTTCCACAACAGTGGCAAGAAACTCTTAGCTTCTAGGAAGTAATTAATTATATTATTGGAAAACAATTTAAAATTTTCTTTGTGTAGGTATGGAATTATTCAGGCCCACCAAGAAAGTTGGTTCTTGCCCATAGTCCTGTTCAATTCAAAATTTTTAGTAAGTGGGCCAGCAGGTGGTGTGGTTAAGGAGCTGGATTCCCATATGGCCAGACTTGATTCCAGTTCTAAACCTGATGGCTTGAAAATCATGTCAGGGACATGTGTGAGCATGCATGCCCAAAATCCCAGGAAGAAAATGGAGAAGGGGGGTGACTTCTCACTTTCCCTCTCTCTGTCTCTGGTGAGCACATGCACCCTATGGAAGAAACCTAAAAGAAAAAAATTTAGTAAGTATCAATAAAAAGTTCTTCCCCTTCGAGAGAATTGATTCTGATTTGAACAGCAGTGAAACATTCTTAGGTCTAGAAGATAAAATAATGACTTGCTTTTCTACTGACAGATAAGGGCCAAAGATTAAGAAATAACTAATGTTTTATATTTTTGGAGATTTTTTTTTTTTTTTGGTTAAGTTTTTGCTATAGGGTACATGCACTTGCCAGAGAGACAGAGAGACAGAAAGCGAGAAATCACCCCCCAGGGGAGATGGCCATGTCGCAATCCCTTCACCTCTATTCTCCTCTTGGGATCATGGGCACGCACACACACATGCCCAGCATGAGTTTAAGCCACTGGGTCTGGGACTCGAACCTCGGTCAACTACATGGGAGTCCAGTGACATAGCCATTACTCTAACTGCTGGTCTCATGGAGATTCTTGCTATAGGGTAGGGTGGGTGGGCTCGCCAGGGAGAGACAGAGAGACAGAAAGCAATAAATCACCCCCTGGGGGGCTGGCTATGCTGCAGTCCCTCTCCATTCTCCTCTTAGGGTCTTGGGTACGTACGCACAAGTACCTGGTATGAGTTTTAAGTCACTGGTTCTGGGACTCGAACCATGGTCAACTATGTGGTAGTCCAGCGACGTAAGCATTATGCCATCTGCTGGTCCCAGAACTCATGTTTTTATATGGTGCTGGGCAACATCTAGACTGGAAGCCTACATATTGTCGGTTGTCATAGTTTAGTGGAGGTGGTAGATTGTCCTTAATTAGTGGTGGAAGGTTTGATTCTACTTTGTCACCCCTATTCACTCAACAGTTACTTTTAAAACAATAGCAGAAGGGTTTGATTGGGAATTTTTTTCTTTTTTGAGGAAAGGACTTATTTCTTATACATTGTCTTCTTGAAACATGGA